CAGCACTCGGGAGGCAGAGGCAGGATGATCTCTGTGAGTTCAAGGCCAGCCTGGTCTACAGAGCTAGTTCCAGGACAGTCAAGGCTACACAGAGAAACCCTCTAGAAAAACCAAGCAACAACAACAAAAAGAAGTGTGTGTGTGTGTGTGTGTGTGTACATGTGTGTACATGTGGAAGCCAGATGCTGATGTCTGATTTCTTCCTCAATGTCCTTTTGCGTCTCTCTCTCTCTCTCTCTCTCTCTCTCTCTCTCTCTCTCTCTTTGATACAGGGTCTCTCAATTATGTAACCCTGGTTGTCCCAGGGTTCTCTAAGTAAACCAAGATGCCCTTGAACTCATGGAGATCCACCTGCCTCTGCCTTCCAAGTGCTGAGATTAAAGGTGTGCACCACCAAGCTTGGTGCACCCTACTTTTTGAGACAGACTCTTTTACTGAACCTCATGTGGCTAGGCTGACTGGCCAGCGAGTTCCAGGAATCCTGTCTCTGCTTCACCTCCACACCCAGCAACAGTGCCCTGCTCTGTTGCTTGGGTATTGGGGTTTTGAACTCAGATCCACATGCTTGTACAACAGGCACTTTACTACCTAAGCCATCCCCCAACTCTCTCTTCCTACTCTTTCGAGACCCAACTCATGGCTGGCATACACCACCCATGCCTGTTCATGTTGGTATGCCAAAAACAGAGGTCATGGAATGCAAAGACATTTCCTTAAAGGAGGCTTCGAGGCTGGACAGATGATTGGGAGGTAAAGCGGCTGCCAAGTCTGACAACTTGAGTTTGATCCTGGGGATGCATGTGGGAGAAAGAACTGACTCCACCTGCTTATTGTCACAATGGCATGCAGATTTTCTCTCTCCTCCCCCTTCCCCTCTCTCCTACATACAAATTCAAATAAATTTTAAAAAAATTTTTTATAAAGAAACCATGAAGCAGGGCGGTAGTGGCGCACACCTTTAATCCCAGCACTCGAGAAGCAGAGGCAGGTGGATCTCTGTGAGTCTGAGACCAGCCTGGTCTGCAAGAGTGAGTTCTGGGATAGCCAGGGCTACACAGAGAAGCCCTGTCTCAAAATACCACCACCACCAAAAACAAAAACAGACAAACAAAGATGAAACCATGAAAATTTATATTAGTGAGCTTCTGACACAACAAAGGGTCTCTAGTCACCAGATAAAAATGGCTCACACAGCTGGAGAGAGGTGTTAAGAGCACTTGCTATACTGGATGTGGTGGTGCACACTTTTAATCCCAGCATTTGGGAAGCAGGGCAGGTGGGCATCTATGAGTTTGAGATCAGCCTGGCCCACATAGCAAGTTCCAGACCGGTCAAGGCCTGTCTCAAAAATCAGACAAGCAGGCAAACAAACAGAAAGAGAACCTGTTGCTTTTGCAGAGGCTCCAGATTCGGTTCCCCAGCACCCCCACGGGAGTTAACAATCATCTGTACCCAGAATTCCAGGGGATCTTCTGGTCTCCTTGGGCACCAGACATGCATGCGGTACGCGTACATACATGTATGCAAAACACACGCATAAAGAATAAAAATATAAAAATAAATATTAAAAGCAAAACAAACAAAAATAGCTTACGGGACAGAAAGGTGACTCATGGGGCAAGACTCGTCACTGTGCAGGCCTGACGACTGGAGCTGGATCTCCGGGACCCAGATGAAAAGTCAGATTCGGGGCTGGAGTTAAGGGCACCGACTACTCTTACAAAGGACCTAGGTTTGATTCCCAGCACCCACATGATGGCTCACAACAAACTGTAACTCCAGTTCCAGAGGATCCAACACCTTCCAAAGGCTATTGCATGTGCTTGGGCACATATACATAAAATAAAATGCTTTTTAAAAGTCAGATGTTGCAGGGCATATCAGTAATTTCAGCATACCAGTGGTGGGATGGGAAGGAGGCACCAGAGAACCAGCTGGAAGCTTGTAGAGCAGCTGCCCTCAAATACACGACGTAGCAGCAGAAACAAGAGAGACTTTGCCCCACTAAGGTGGAAAGTGACAACGGACTCTTGAAAGTTCCCCTCCGATTTCTGTAACCGCACTAAGACACCTATGCTCATACTAACACACACTTAAAGTAATTAATGAAAACAACAACGTATAATGGACCATTAAATGTGTACATATATGTGTTTTCTTATTGCTTCTAACTTGTCCCAAGGATGCTATTGCATTGGTGGCCCCAGCAGGTTTCTGTCCACCCAGGACTCCCATATTGTGCTCTTTGTAGAATCTGCTGTGCCACCAGGACCTTGGAGCATCAACACAAACAATAAGGAATGGTCATGCTTGTCCCCAGAGCAGGGGTTGCAGCATAGTCTGCCAGAAAAGTAGGCTAGGGTTGTGGGGATGGCGGAAGGTACTTGACATCTGAACAAAGAATGTGAATCTGAAGAAAGCTGTGCTCAGGGTTCAGAGCTCAGGCTCTTGAGGGTGGAACACCAGACCAGGAAGATGAAATTCCAGAGACTGGACAAGACTGGCATTGGAGACTGGACAAGCTGTGCAGCGTTCATTCATTCTGGGCCATCTGGGCTTTCCTGTGGCCGTGGCAAGTCTAGCAGTGATTGGGATAAGGGTTTGGGGCTCTAGAGTGAAGGTGGACCCAGGCAAACAGCCAGACCCAGAGCTTCAGTCAAGGCTTGTCAGGAAATTCGATGAAGACAGTTTTCAATGGATAAAACCAAACCAAGATAACGCATGCAAGACCAGGGTAAGAGACAGGAGAGGTGCAGGGGAAAAGACCACCTCAGAGCTCATCTGGAACGAAACTGTCCTTTCAAGGGCCACCTCACATCTGACTTCCTGTGCGGACCTGTGCAGGCCACTTCTTGCCTCTGGCCTCCCCTTGGTACTGTGGAGGGCTGTAACTGCACGTCACCACCTTCTAGAATTCTCTTCTAGAATCAGAGCCCCCGGGGTCCAAGACCAGATCTTAAGTCCTCGCACCCCAGGCTAGGTCTGACGGGTGAGCATTCTGGCAGACTCCTTGATCCTCTCTCCTATTCTCCAAGGCCATAGATGACACAGCACCCCTGTGCAACAACCATTCTGCGACATAGCAGCTGGTCTCTGAAGCCCTGGGGTGGCCCCTACTGAGACCCTACTTCCAGAAAGTGTACAAAATACACAGGATGCCGCGTCACCTGGGTAAAGGCAGTCCCTGGCATGGACAGAGCACATACCCAGGTTCAAACTCTAGGCAAACAAGGGCTCAAAAGAGGGTTGGAGCCAAGCTCTGGGAACCACACAGTGGCGGCAGAGTCACATGGAGAGGAGAGAGAGGGAGCTTGAGAAACTAGGAGAGTGGATGGCCTCTGACCAGCATATTTCTGGGCCTTTCCTGGGGGGGACTTATGGTCCGAGAAGATTGGGGAATTGAGAGGGACCAGGATTCTCCAGCAACCAGAGCTCAAGAACAGAGGGTCACCGGGCGGACGCCACTGTGTGCCGATTCCCTGCAACAGCTGGGCCAGTTGGACGGCTCTGCCCTCTACCAGGCCCAGAGTAAAGGTGCGCAAGGGCTTTACTTCGTTGGCTCAGCCGGACTGGACTCCAGGTCGGAAGGTCCAGACGGAACGACGGTCTGGCCACTTCGCGGCCGCCACTGTCACCGCCCTGACCCTCCCATCCTGGTCCTCCTCCTGCGGACTACATGCTGCTGCTCCCCTCACCCGGCCCCGCCGCGTACCTGTAACTCCAGCCCGAGACGCGCACCAGGGCGCCCGCGGCCGGCCGCACGATGACATCCGAGCCCCGGGCTCCAGCTCCCGACGCCACCTCCAGGCTCCGGCCGCTGCAGGAGAGGCACCACCTCCGGCCAAGGGGGGCGGGAGCCTCGAGTGGCGGCGGGGCTCCGGGAGCCGCGCCCCTTCCTGTGTGACTCTGAGCGTGGCCCCCAGTCCCGG